TTTTTTTTAACTTTCTACCATTATCTACTTTTATTCTAAGCGGTTCAAATATCAATCACAAATTTCGATTCATTTTTCTAAAAGTAAGCGGACACTTCAATTAAAATTGAGTAACATAGTTTCTTTATTCATTATATTTCTGTTGTCATTAATTATTTATAATACTCTTAAATGTATATATCTATCTGTTCAAATAGTTCTTTTCTCCTCATTTTCATGTCTCCACAATAGTTTTTCATCTGTAATCGCTTTTCCTTGTATTCGCTTACAAAATAGTGAGTAGATAATAATCATTATCATTCTCTGCATATAATTACTATATATTCCATTTCTACATTTTCGTAACACATTCATTAAGTTCAAATTTAGCTCTCGTTCTCACATTTGTTTTCTTTTTAGAAATCTACACACATTTTTATTGGTTTCCTTCTTTATTTGTGTGGTTTCGTCACATTTCCACTTTGTTTGGCTGATGAACGTTGCGCAGACACAAAAAAAAAACATTATCTACATCTGAATTTCTAGTTATATCATTTTCCATTTTCAAATATGTCGATTGAGTAAGCCGTTACGTTGATTTTTCGTAGGCCATAAAAAATCGACTGTCACAATTCTTTGTTGTGTGCCTTCTTTTTGTTTCAATCAATGTCATTATTGTTTGATCGATTCGGTGAAATGTGATTTAAATATTCGCAGCACGAACAACTTCTACTGATTAGAAATATCTTTCGTTTATCTTTTATTCTATATTATTTCCATGCGATTTTGGATGTTTTAACAGTGGAAGAGCAATTCTTATGCAAGAGGAAGGGTTTCATTGAGCAGAAGGAAAGTGGGGGGGGCCCCGGGGGGGGGGCGATAGAGAGTAAAATTGTTGTTGATATGTGTCTGGGTGTGTCGGGTGTAAAATATAACAGTGATTTTAAGTTTTTTTGTTGTCTCTATCTGATGTAACCCTCTAACCTCTGTTTCATGTATAAAGCTTGGTCGATGTATTTATCGAAACTAAACCGTTGAATTTAAATTGATTTTCGAAGAGAAAAAGAAACATGGAGGAACTTTGATTTTGATTTTCATTACATTTTCAATTTGTGTGCACATATGACAACATGGACATGTAAAACTAAATCTTCAGCGGTATCAATTATTGAACTGTTTTTGCATTTTTTGAACATCGTAAAAACATCAAATAACTTGACATGGCGCACTTCCAGAGTCACTCTCTTCCATCTCTTCACATTTACACCAAATGGACACATTTCACAAGGGATGGAAAGGTTTACATTGAACTTTTCAATTTTTTTTTGGCAAACGTTCAATATTTTGAAAATCAAAAGTTTTATAAGCGCATATAACAACTTGATTAAATAACATCTGATTTTTTGTGTATTGACTACGGACACGAATACCGTAACTTGAATTGAAAGTGTATTTACATTGACTCCAACAATAATTGTAAATTACATGAATGGTTCGGCACGTCCTGCACTTTCGGGCTGTCCCTAGTTATATTGCCATCATTCTAAATTCCAATGAAAAATTCTCGGTGTATAGGGATGTCGGAGTGTGTGTGTATGTAGTTTTATTGTGTTGCTTCAATCGTTATGTGTATATATCTAAAAAAACTAGTGGGTTTCCATTCAATATATTCAAACATTGATGCTAAATATTATATGAGACAGGCTTCAAAATGATGTGCAAATACGCATTTCTAATAACAATTACTTTGCTGGGCTTTTTTCTTCTATTTTATGTACAACCATCGCTATGTTTGAAATTCAAAACTTTGAACCGTCAGGATTGTGCACCAAAAAAAATTGTGTCTGCCTTTTTAAATTAATGTTATCATAAGTTAGACCTGTTTTTCAATTTATGGCTTGCACTTCATTCAACAAATTTTTTTATCATTTCTTTTCTACTTTGTACTGCGGGATTTACGTTGCAGAGGTAAAAGTGTGGGAGAAAATCGAATTTAGAGTCGTCACATTGTGAATGTTTTGATTAAACAGCCAATTTGAATGGAACAGAATTGAAGAGATTCTTTTTTGAAATACCTCTAGATACAATTGGCAGTGAGTTTCTATGTGAAACGCTGCACCAAATGACCAAAAATAAATCGACTGGATTTTTACAGACAATTGGACATGGGCTCAAAATTGATTTACACTATTTGTGATTAGATTGCAACAATATACCAACTATACACAAAAATTCCATTTCTATATATAGTTTATAGCTCTTTTTCAGGTGACAAGTCTAACATGTTTGTACAATTTTTTTTTCTTTGTTATTTTCATATTTCGCTGTAATTATAATTCGGTATCCATTTATTTTGCTGCCGGTGAATCCAAGCATTTCAATAAAACCTTTGCAAACTATTGGATTTTCTTTTACATTATTCAAACAATCTACTAATCTTATATGTTATAATTTACTGATTGCGCCTTCAATCCCAAATCTGGACCGGGTGTTTTGATGAATCGTTTTCATTCTCAATGAATTTTACAATCAGTTGATCAACAGTTTTATGAGCTCTCCATAAATTCGATTTGAAAATGTTAAATTGAAAAATACAGCTATTTTTATTATGTGCATATGATTAAAGAGTTATAGGGGCTTCATAGAAGTTCGATCTGAGTAGAATATAGATTTAGACGAATGACCAATACATATGGAGAGAAATGGGCATCCGCAAAAATGTTGTTCGCACTTTTGTAAGATGCAAAATTATTATATATAGTTTACCAAAGATAAAAGTCATTTCCATTGATATTCGGCAGGAAAGATTCTGCATCGATGATAACGGTAACTATAGTTATACTTAAAAGTGATACATTTTTATGTAGAAAATAAAGACAATACATTTTGCTTAGGCCAAAATAGTCTAAAAAATCCTTTCTGGGTTAAAGAGAAGAATTTAACTTAAACTTGAATGAAGTAAAAGCTTACACCATTTTCGTTTCCTCGGAAGAAGGAAATTGTTTTTACAAAGTTTTTTTTAAAGGTTATTTTTGTTTGCTATAGGTTAGATGTACGCTGTATGCAGGATTTCCATTTAAATCAGACCATATACTGAGCATAGATATTTATCCGAGATATTTTGTGAGACTCCGATAATTAACGCAGCAGTCCATGCATTATTGCTCCTTCTAAACGAAGTGTGTGTGAGACTCGAATTGGCGTGTGTACCTTAAACACAATACGAGGAAGGGGTAATAATACTCACACAAAGATGCTCGCTCGTACATCGCAGTCAAACGAGGAAAACGATGAGTTAGTGTGTAAGCATGAACGTCGATCTGTGCTGCATTATTACTCCTTCAAACGAATTGTGTTTAAGTCAAACACGTCGATTCAAGTCTTGTACACAGTTCGTTTAGAAGGAGCAATAATGTGTTCACACAAATGACAACTAACCTCAGTATCTGCTCAAATATTTAAGTGCTTAACATATATCACTTTGGCATTTGAGCGGAAAAAATGCATACTAAAATTTATCCCAAAAACAGTTGAGACTTCGGATAAATTGAGTTTTATGTCAATTTTTGTTCATATTGAGGTTAGTTGTCATTTGTGTGTTGCGTATTATCGGATACTCACGAAATATCTCGGATAAATATCTATGCTCAGTATATGGTCTGATTAAAATATAAGTTTGCTCAGTGTTTTTTTTAAATGCTACAGTTCTAAGCTAATTTCACATAGAATTCTGTAAATTTACTCTTCAATTAATTGGTCAGTTTTAATTAAAAAGCTATTAACAGATATTATTCCGTTGTTCAAGTGAGTTCAAATAAATTAGAGAACGTTTAAAATGGCCAACGACTTATTATTTATTTAATTTAACATGAATGTCGAATTATTTGATTTTGAATATGAACACAAAATGACGGCAGCTTTTGAATAAATGAGGATTTGAAATCTATTGATCGATTCCAATAAAATACTGTGTGTTTGACAACAAAAATGCGAAGCAATGAAATCAGAAATATTTGTCACATAAAATGCGTTAAAATAAGCCAGAAGCCATACACGATTGAAGAGTATTTGATGGAACATTTCGTTGATATCTTAGAAACTCTTCACATTGAACAGAACATATCTACAAATAACGGTATTGCTAAACATTTTTTGATTTTCCAAAGTTGAAAAAAAAAACAATATGCACTTTAGAACATAGGTTGGTAATGATGCTTAAAAAGCTTAGGTACGAATTGATGCTTTAGATTTGGCGATTACCAAGAAGAACATTAATATAGCTAGAAGTAGGTTCAATTGATTGAGCTTATGGAAAATGGATGCTCGTTTTGCGCAGTTTTCAATTATATGTATTAGTTTTTGTAACTAAGTTACATTCATTGAATAGTTTTTAGGCTCAATACAATTATATTTTTTTCTTTTCAATTCACAATTGAATACTTATGAACCATTTTAGGATTATTTTGATACTTTTTCAAATTTATATACATTTTACTATTATTATTACTAAATATCCTTAAATGTCTTATACAAAAATTGTTTTAAAAAAAGAAGAAGAACGGACCGCAATTCATCAGACCAATCAAAATAAATGCTATTCACAAATTTGATTGGACGCCAATTCAATGAGGTCTCCAAAATTTAAACACGATTTTTGATGATTTGACGTGACATGAATACATCGCGCGTGCGTCTATTTGCACCAAAAAATGCATCTACTTTTAACAAATTCCTTTTGCACCAAGATTTCTTGTTTATTTTTTCAAATAACAATCGAAAAAATTCTTTGATTTTGAACCGACCAATTTTTAATGATGAAATGAAAAACATGGTAAATTTATTTGGAAACTATTTTTTTTTTGTTTTTGATTTCATACATCATGTCGAACATTTATACTTTTATTGTACTGTTTCTATTATTATAATTATTTACAATTAGTTGTGTTTTGTTGTCAATTTTTTTTTGGCTCAATAACATTCAGAGTTAACTACGAAATGTTTTTTTTACACTGAAAATATGTCGCAATTATGACGCACACCAAGTGGATTCGGTCAGGGCGTTGTTGATTTACTAGAAATCTGTCATGGACACAAAAGGTGGATCCGGTCGGAATAGATCACTCGCGAATCGCGACAGATTTTCAGCTAATTTTTTTAAATTTATGTTGTTGCTTTTTTTTATATATACCAAAGAATGAAAATATAAGACATTTATTAGGTGAAGAATTCAATAACGATGTACAACAGACTGATGCAACTTTGAAATTTGTAATGTGGTGCGTGCCAGCGAAATGATTAAATTGCGCTTCTACACGTATACACATGTACACAAATAGCTATTGCTTGCCAGTCGTTGCACATATACCCGAAAGCCGAACATTTGTTTTTGTCTAAATATTTTTTTGTTCATTTCATTTTTTGTAGTGTTTGAGGTGGATGACTTTGATTTGTGGATGGGGTGTGTGTATGTACTGGTGTATGAATGAGTTTCCTTAAAAAATCGAATCCAATATGGAGAGAGGGCGAATAAGATATACATGAACATTGAGAAAGTTATGCGATAAAAATGCAACCGTTTCTTAAACTTCTCATTTCCTGCATTTAAAAAAAAACACGCTATACAAAGCAGTTTCAACAACTCCGGAAGAATTTTGGAAGAATTGCTTTTGGCATGTAAATACATGCTGTGTGAAAAAAATGTGTATTCTTTGGTACGCACACATCTGTACTTACATTACAAATTGGAAAAAATGTGAATTGTTTGTGAATTGTTTGCCCAAGTTACACATTATGATGTTGAATGAGGAGTGTTTGTTTTGGCCTTGATTTTGGTTACGGAACTTTTTCTATCGCATCCTAATTTGTTCCATCGGTAAAAACATTTCATATTTTTGTTTATTTATACTTGTTTTTCTTTTCTTTTTCTTTGTTGCTAATTGTACACAAATTTGTAAATGTCTAAATATGCATCTGCAAATACGAACAGATAAACGTTTATTTGCTTTGTTTTTTTTTATTCGATTAAAAACACTTAAGTAAAACAGCTAGTCACTAGTTCCAATAGTTGAATGTTTATTTATTATTCTCTGTGTGTGTCTGTGAAATTTTAATGATTTTTATTTAATTTGATTTAATCCAATAAAGAATTTCTTTTACATTTTTGTTAGCCTCATAATAGGTATTGAAATCATTGGTTTCATTAGTACTCTCTTGGTCTATTAAACGCTATCATAAGTTTTCAACTTATTCATATTAAATTAAATAGTCGTTTTGAATATTTTTTTAATCGAAAGGTCCGATGTGCGGAAATCTCATTGCCGGAATTTATCGAATGACGCCCTTTTGACTAAAATATATTTTCAAATATTGCGCTAATTGGCATTCGCAATAGGTACATCTCTTCAAACTGCCTAAATATATATAAAGATAATCTCTGTCATTCATAATGAATGTTAACATTTAATAAAGAGTTTTCTGTCTAGATTGTTATTTGGTATCGTCGATTTATCATTTATTTAAATATATTTGATCCTCTTTCGATCTTAATAATAATAGATTGGATTTGAATTTAACAACACTCATATATAAACATTTATTCAATTAATTATACATATGGATTTGATTAGACACCATTTCTTTTGGTATTTCGAATAGTTTTTCATTCATTTTAATGTAATAACAGAACGTGTATCTTTGCATTTGAAAATATCTGCGACAATCATAGACATTATTCAATACACAGAAACTACAAAAATAATTCGCAGAACTGTTCAATTTTCAATCGAATCGATTTTAAAGCCAAGGTTTTCAATAACTTTCATTTGTCTTCTATACGTATGCTTACTCATGCAAATGTTTATATTTCATCTATTCTAATCTCTTCTGTAGGAAATATATACGCACCTGTTGTACTCAATCGTCATAACTCACTCGATAACAACTATTATACGAATTTATCCAAAAATGTGTTTGAATTTTATCTGATCCACAGCTAAAAAAAAACAACAATACCAAATTCGGTTTCCACTTTCGGTTCCAAAACAAACAGAACGAAAATGGTGACCGCTTTATGCAGCTAACAAACATCTCGTTTTGACATTGTGTACCAACTTTTTACTTTGACGAGGGAGGGTGAATCGGGTCGAACGTGCAACGGTTGTAATTGAATTTGTTCTTGAGAGTTTGGTCTTGATGTGCTTTGCTGTTGAAGCGATTGTACACCACCCGAAAGCGATGATGTTGATGGTGTTTGTAAATGATCCGGAGGATGATGTTGATCTGTATATCCATTTGCTTGGCGCGTTCGTGTGTGTTCCGATTGGTGCTGATATCTCGGCGGCTGCCGATATGGATTATTGCTAGCGTAATGGTGATTCTAATGTGATTCCGTGCACAAACATATGAATAAACAAATTAATCACTGCATTTTGCACACTCATTCGAAAGAAATAAAATAAAAATTGCAATGGACCATTTGCGTCAGACTTTGTGGCATCTCGTGCAGAGATGAAAATAAAATCGAATAAATTCTACCTAACTAACTACTGACCTGTTGCGGATATAACTGGTGATAAATTGGTTGAATATAATTGTGGTGTGAAAATTGGCATGCTGACGGTGGTGGTGTCGGTGCTGGATGCTGGAAATGTGGATGGTGCTGTTGGTTGTGATGGGTTTTCGGTGCAGACGATGGTAGTCTATTGGGTTTTTTACCTGTTATTGTTGCTGTTGTCGTTCCGCCACTTTTGTTGGTGTTTTGTTGTCGTGCTGGTGGTGGATCGTCTGACACCTGGGCATTTTGTCAGAAGCCAGAATCAAAAACAGCCATTGATCGCGAAATATTTTCATCATTTCGACAACATTCTAAAAATTCGTCCAATGTAACCACTCCATCTCGATTCAGATCCATTTTCTATAAATGAATAGACGACAAAAGAATTCTCAATGAAAATTGAACATATTCATTCTTATTCTATTCACAATATATTTTCGTATTATGTGTGAATAGTAAAAAACATTATTTTCGCGAAAAAGGAGCTCAGATTGAAACGAAAAGCGTCCACAAATATGTTTTGTGCTCACAATGCAGCCGAAAAAGCTCGGCATCTATTCAAAGTTGAAACTGAAACGGTAAAGTGAAAATAAATTGAGTCAGGTTTGCCATTGTTTTCATTATTGTTTCATAAAAGGGGTCTCCATTTGTACGATTGGTGTGCGTGTGCATGAATTACAACTGTGTGTATAGTATTTATGGGATTTGGCTTTTTCATTGTGTACAATACCGTATGGGGTGTATGGCCATTGGCCACTGACTCTCGAAACGTTCTGACATTGATTTATATCCGACGGAGCACGCGTGTCCGACAGCATGTGCTTGGCTCGCCATTGTCAATATAGCTTTGGTTTGGTGTGCTTTACGACTGTTTCTGGGCACCAAATACACAATGATATATGGTGTAGTCTGTGAACGCAGTCAGTTTTCTATGTGCGTGCATTTAACTTACGCACATACACAACGATATCACATAATAGACAAACTCCAACACTATAAATCAGTCGAAATAAATGTATTTGTAAAGTTGCTTCGAAGAGGTTATGAATTTGAAAAACTATATGTACGACCAAGAGACGGAAAGCGTAAAAAAAGGTCGCAAAAACTTGTCTGTGTCATGTGAAATATTTTGGAAACGATGGCAATCAGAAAGGTAAAAAAAAGTTTTTTTTTCATCAAATTATTTGTAACTTTGGGTCGATTGAATGTCTTTTTTCACATGAATTGCGCATTTGGCCAGAAACTGGCGATAAATGTAATCACAAATGTCTGCAGCATTAAGTAATACTTTTGTTTCGAAAACTTCCAGGTACCGTAAAAAAGTGTTCATCATTCACGATGATGACGTCCGGGAGAAAATAGCACACGTCGCACCCAATGAAATTAGAAAAAGAAACGAAGAATTGATTTGTTTTCATTCCCCCTTTTTTCCATTCCAAGTCTTCCTATTGAAGTTACTTCTTTGATAATCAGATGCTTCGTCGTTGATTGTTTGAGACTTTTGAGCCAACAATTGTTTGGCCTTGTCTGCGATTTTCTTCCACAATTCTTAACGCTGCTATTTTTTTTTAATTTCGATGTGAACACAAAAAAGTATAGCTTTGAGATAAATTCTAAACATAAAATAGAAATCTTCAAAAAAATTAAAGGTAAATATTAAGCCAAACAACGCGAGATGCCTCTCAAACAACATCTTCCACTGTCAGTAAAAGATTTGTTCCTTGTATTTTTTTTTGTTTCGTTTCATTTGGTTTCTTTTCGTTTGTAATCGTTTCCATTCTTGCTTCAAATGCCTGGCAGCATTGTTCGTTTGCAAGTGACTCTCAAAGCATCTTGCCGCAAGAGACTAAGGCTCATTTCGTTCGCTGCAGATTAATTGGTAAGTAGAATTACCAAGGGAATACCTCATTAGGTACACAATTCAGCAAAAGCTTTCATTCTTATTACATAGTATGCTTTCGAACACATTTTTTTCTTCTCTTCTTTTTTCATCTCAGCGCTTTTGTTTATCTTTATATTTGCACTCCACTCCCTTTTGTTCAAACAGTTGCATGCAACTGTTTTATTTGATGAGAGAGAGAGAGTTGTTTTTTATGATTTTTCAGTTAAATTTCATATTTCATTTCTCTCGCTGTGAAATCGCAAGTGAAAATATTGGATTTTCGTACAAATGTACGATTGTATGTGCTTCAATTGTGGCCTTCAATTCTGCACCATTCTAGCATTGAGATAAATTTATTCACAGAGTTATCCGTGGCAAAATGCTGAAAATTGAATCTATTGTATTCTCTGGTATTTGTTTAGCGCTAATATAATAATCTGCATTGCATTGTACTATTGAAATTCCAAACTATAATTTAATACGCGTTAAGCTGGGCATTTATATTGGGATTATTTGAACACTGAGCAAATAAAATCAATAACTTTAAATAATAATGCCACACATTGTACATTCAATTAATTGTACCACTTTTAAATAATTTATTATTCATATAATGCATTTGTCTCGCACAAACCGAAAAATATCAATACTTTGAACTGTCATTTTCCTCACCGAAATGCCATTTTATTTAAATGACAAACACATTATATTTTAAGGACTATCATTTATTGGATAGATAGTATGCTATATTTCGCTTCGCGTTCAATCTGTTACCGACCAAAAGTTACAACACCCGTTACAAAGGCGTCCATTTTGGGAGCATCCTCAAAGATTTCGCTAAACTAATCGGCTATTGATATGCAAAGTATCATCTCCGCTAGAAAAAAATCGATTATCTGAATACTTTGGCGAATGACTGTTGCGTGCTCAGCGATTTTGACAACGGTGCTTCTCAACCGGATATTAACGTTGGCGAAAAGTGTAATTTGAGCTCAAAGGAATGAACAGGTTTTTAAACTTATTTTGCATCAAAACTTACCGTAAAAATTCTCTCAACTTTGTCTCTGATTTGATCCGGATCGGGTGCTGTGTGAACGGTTTCCGGATTTCGTCCCATTAGCTCATAAATTGCGATAGCAATATCAGTCATTTCTTCTCGTGTTATAAATCCATCGCCATTTATATCGTATAGTTGAAATGTCCAACGTAGTTTTTCTTCCATTGTGCCACGTAACAATGTTGAAAGATTTTGAACGAATTCCTACATTATGTGAGTGCGTGACAAGAAACCATACGCAGCATGTGAGCGAATCAGAGCGAACAAGATGAGCACATAAGTAAAAAAGATACAACAAAAAAATGGATTAGAGATTACGATAAAGCGGAATCACTTATTTCAGCAGAATTTTTGCACTCAAAATGGAAGAACTATATAGATATGTACACATTTACACGTTCAAACTCGCATATAACACACATAAAAACATTGAAAAAGACATTCACAACATATGTGCCCGATAATCCGTATCGTAAATATCCCACAATGATTGCTTTGCTTTTGGTTTTTGCTTTACAGCTAAAAAAAACACGTTTACGACGATGAATTCTTGCCAGGGCGATGATGCAAAGGATTATGTCGATTCTAATTTTAATGCGATAAATTAATTGATTGGATTGCTAATCTAATTAGAAATCGGAACAGAATTTTGGACCCAATCCGATGCCTGAAGTGTACATACTCTGTTCCATTCATTTTGTTGATTTATTCAATAAAATAACAATTCTTACCTCAAAACTAACAATACCACTGTGATCCGAGTCGAGAGTGTTGAACACATAATGTGCGTAAAGTCCGGTATTCGCTAATTGTAACAAAAATAAAATCGATTAACATTGACTGTCATAATAATGTTCACAATATTTAATTGAAAAAATTCGAAACAGCAAAACCAAAAATAGACGAATTAAAAAATAGAGAAATTCTTACAAGTAGATAGAATAACAAAGAAAATATAATATGAAGAAATTGTCAACGTTAAATATATATTAAATTAAAACTAAAAGAACGAGAAACAAGATCATTAATGTTCTTTTTACATTTCCATGTGGAAACGTTTAACTAATTGCTTCAAATACAAGAGTTCAAAGAGTACAGCGTGTTGCTTTACAGAATGTTTGTATTGTATATAGCGCTTAATAGATATAACTTTAAACTTGAAATGTGTTCAACGTCATTTAAAACTTTTTTATATGATTTTTTTTTTGTTTAGTTGAATCATATCAAAAGTGTTTACGGCTACAGTTCATGTATTTTGCGATATGATGATAGAGAGAAGAGAATACAATGCATTTGCAAAACTCAAAACGAGCTAAAAGATGACAGCACTAACTATTTGCTTTAATAAATGATGCTATGGGAAATATCTAAATGAGCACAAAACTCCTAAAAATACTTAAGTTGACGACGGATGGAACTGTGCAACAGTTGCATGTGAAATTTAACATGTTCAACATTGATAACTTTGGTAAGTTACATCATGCATGAAATCATTGACTATAAACTTTTTTTTCTAAAACTACGATAAACTTTGTATTATTATTCTCAAAATTGACTTAAAAATACCTGCAACAAAAAGATAAAAATCATGCAAAATTCAATGTATTATTGTCGGTCAAGTTTCATGATTGATTTAGTGGAAAAAGAGGAAAAATAACTCAACTCGGTATTCCAAGAGTTAGTTTTGGTTCATTGCGACAAAAAAAACAACAACGATTGTTTTAAAAATAAACAAAAACAAAATAGAATACTCGTAATTTGTATATTTGTTTATTAAATTTATCAAAAGTAAATTTGTGTTCATCTGCAACGGGTAAATTGCATTTGGTTGATTGTGTGAGTGTGAATGTAAATATAAGTTTCAATCATCGAACATAAAATGCATATACATATATGTCAAAGTCACAGTTGATTTCGAGCGTGAATAAGAGCATTGAGAATAGCAATGACAAAGAGACGGAGAGCATTGAAGCGAGGCAAAGTGAATGTAAATAATTGAACGGAGGAAATTGGCAGTAAGGAAATATGACGTTCAAGCTAAAAGTTCCTGAGTGTGTTGAATCCATTTGGTTTCGATGCTCGTTGTGGTAGTCTTCCTCTGGGGAGTGTCATGCCATTTATTGAGTGAATTAAGTGATGACGATCTTTTCTTCTAGACGGTTTTTTTCGCTTCTCAAAATTGTCGGATAGAAATGAAAACTTCCCGTTCGAAATGGAACGTTTTGCAAAACCATGATCTAGTACAATACAGAATGATGCAAAAATTGGGGTGAAGGATGTGAGAAATGTAAAATACTTTGCCACAAAAATGGCAATAATTAAATAAATATGCATGCTCGATGTGATAACGAGTGCGCGTCAGTCGCAGAAGCAACAACATCTACAACGTCAACACGAACAACATCGACTATGGCAACTTTTTATCCTTATTCAACGTTGTTTCTCTTCGCATCATTTTTTTGTTTAATTACAACGAAACAATTTCTAACGCAAAGAACTACTTATGGGTTCGAACTTCAAATGAACACGAATGCACAGAGTGCCATATTCTCGTTCGAAATGCGAAGCGTGTACACGAATAGAGAAAGAATGATGCGAATAAAAACTGTAATTACAAGAAACAACAGAACAAACATAAAAGTCAAACATCAAAGTTTCGGATTCTTTTGAGCAAATGGCTTTGCTTTGTACATGCAATTTCACTCGTTAACAGCTTTTATGGAATTTTCACATGTATGCTTTGCGGGTTTCAATTTAACACTGTGTGTACATTTATCTTTAGCATTTGAAAATGACAAAAGCACAATCGAGAGTTTTTCAAGTAAAATGAAAGAATAAAAATGTGAACGACGAAACGAACATGGGAAAAATCTTAGATAATGTCATACAATTCAAATCATAAAATGCAATGAATAACTCTCAAACGTCACGAAGAGTGTTATTTATGAATTTTCATTGAGAAGCATAACAAAAGAAAGGACAACCAACTTAAATACATCGGAGGAAGAAAGAAAAAAAAAATTGAAAATTTTGAAGATTTTCGCTTTGTTCTTCGCTTGGTTTTCAAACGCATTTTATAATAAACATAAATTTACATTCTTTATGTGCTTATTTTCTTAAGCTTGAGAAAAGTATTGGCGTTCTCATGCTCTGTAAAAGCACATCCATGTTTACCGTATTATTTATGCAATGTACACAATAAATAAACTTGTACTTTGTGAACTGAAAATGACAGCGTGTGTGAAGGGTGCTTAAAACTCTCATTGCGATTAGCACAAACAAAGACAAGTTTAAAAATTGTTTCTCGTCTTTTGTTATAAACCGAAACATATTATTTTTATGTATAAAATTGCAATGTGACGTCAATGGTATTCGCGTTTTATCGACGATATTTCAGCACTCACACACCGAGCTATATTAGATTGTAGCCAATGTTTGTTGTAGGACAAAAACAAAGGGTTAAACGAAAATCGTCATAAAAAAACCCAAATTAGTCCTAAAAAATACAAAAATAGTCCTGAATAATCCGAAATTAGTCCTTAAAAAAAACAAAAGTTGTCCTAAAAATTACATCAAAAGTTACATAAATCATCCTAAAAAGCTTGAAATTTGTTTGAAACGACATTGCAAAAAAACAAAAAATGTCCTAAAAAAACAAAAAACGTCATAAAAAATGTAAAGGAAAGAGATCCTCAATCAATGGATACACCGTATCTTCAAACTTTCAGAATGTTAGGATTTTGTAAAAAAATAACATCTGCAAATTTTCACATGATATCATACAGGCATTAAAAAGTCTATCAAAAATAATTGGTTTCGCAAAACATATATCACAACTGAAAACTGAAGTTTTCTCATGAATTCATATTTACGGTAAAAGAAACGTAATAAATGCATGTTGTGGCAAAGCGCGACGATGAAAAGCAACGTTAACAGTAGCGCCATGGTGCGGTTGCCAGCGAAACTAAAAAATAGCACAAATTTCGATCGCCTAAATCAAGAATGGTACGAATTTGTGCCAACCAACATAAACTGTGGCAACCATAATGAAGTTGCTGCGTTGCCCAGCTGTCATTGTCGTCGTGTTTTGTGTTGTGGATCACAGTGCGGAAAAGTTCATCTTACGGATGTAAGACATTTTATTTTGTATGAGAGATACCCTTAATTTTGGTTGAAATTTCTCAAAATTCTGACTTTGCAGGATGATTTGGGACTACTAGGAGACTAATTTTTTTTGGTCCGAATGGAGTAGCCACATCCATACATTTTTTGATCATTTTTCAACCATTTTGGTGACACGATGGTTTCGTGCTCAGACATGAAATTCAAAATCTGACTTTACGGGATGATTGGACACTACGAGGAATACTCACAAGTTTTCACGGTGATTTAAGTTACTGCAACCATACATAGAACATAATTTCAGTTTATTCCCAAAATTTCGGTTCCATGCGGAAAAGTCAGCTTGCGTACGTAAGCCTCTTTATTTCAGCTGCGTTGTTCAAAGTTCGCTTCTGTATTCCCGCTTTTATTCCAACGGATACAATTATTCTGTTAAGTAATGCCAATGAAGTTACCCCCGGTTCCATTTGAATGGTTTTGAACTTTTCATTAAATTAATCAAAGTTACGATTTTGCAAATTTGACATTTCCATTCGAATTTACTCTTAAATACTTTTCTAACATTTTTATGACGTTTTTTGTTTTTTTAAGGACATTTTTTGTTTTTTTGCAATGTCGTTTCAAACAAATTTCAGGCTTTTTAGGATGATTTATGTAACTTTTGAAGTAATTTTTAGGACAACTTTTGTTTTTTATAAGGACTAATTTCGGATTATTCAGGACTATTTTTGTATTTTTTAGGACTAATTTGGGTTTTTTTATGACGATTTTCGTTTAACCCAAAAACAAACATCAGAAAAACTACATACGTTTCTGAGAATGGTATTTTCTGCAAAATAAATCCCAAATCGATATACTCAACTTATTGTGTACCATGAACATCGAGCGACCGTTTCGTAGTTGGCAATTCTATTCTGAAACATCGGCTCCCAACGATGTCTTTATTACCAATATGTATTATAAACTATATTCTATGTCGAAATCCATAAAGATTGCTTGCGTTATATGGCACAATGGCGAACAAGCACGATGAGAACATGAAAAGAACGAACATAAAGTACTTCTTTCGCTGGAAGCGATAGCACACGAGACTGAACGGTGTTCATAAAAAAACGGATATAAATTTCTTTTCTATTAGTACTTATTACGTACATGTGATGAGGATACTTGACCCAAAATTTTGTATTTTTGCTGGTTTGTCATTCATAATTGTGTGAGTGGATATCGCGCCATTTGTTGCGTTTTCCACCAAAACTCTGTATGGTTCGTAAGCATGTCAAGAACAAAAATTATCGAAGGATAGATTGAACCGAGAAGTCGAAGCAAAGAAAGCAACACAAGACAGTGTGCTATTGTGTATGGTGCCGATGATTACGATGAATGAGGAGACATAACAAGCGCAACGAATCTCAAATAATGTATTATTGACCGACGATGACTTCGTTTTCATTTGTACGCGTACATAGTCTGTGTTATTTGTCATTGAAACACTCAGACCAACACACACACACATCCGAACATATAAAAATTGTCACGATGTAATGTTAGTTGATTGTAAGATAGTACAATCAAAAAGGTAAAGACACAATCGCCAGTTCATTTGTTGAAGAGCCGATGTGAAAATTGTGAGCAAGGGATAAAATAGCCAAACCACCATGCATCGTCGTGGTCGATATGTGGCAAATCCGTTCACATTTTGTTGTTTTTGGTGACCGCAATTTCGCTTTTTTACATTTCCATCATCATCGTCGTGGATGTTATGCTTGCTCCAAAAGCCCCAAGCAATTCAAACATTATTTGCGATAGGGCTCAGTGTCGTTTTTTTCATTGGATCTCATTTCATTCGAATACATTAACTAAGGATGTGACATTTGGATGTATGGTCTCTGGGCAGAATGTAATGCCTTAAGTTGGATGCGGGTATCTGCGAAATCTTCTTTGGTCTCTTTCAATTTCCTCTGTACTTTCATGCTATGCCAGTGAGCTTGACATTTTTTTCGGTTAGCCACTGGCACTTCATCAGGAGCGTTAAGGCAAAAGAGGAATAGAATTAGAATATAGAGAGTTTTCTGAACATTGGCTCGATTAGTGCTCATTCTCAAAATATAGACACACATAACACATAAATAATTTATCTTTCAATATCGTTCACGAATACGTGTGCCTGTTAATGCTTGTCTCGTCATTCATCTTTCCATGCACACTCACTAAAAACGATAGGGCAGACCGACCGACTTTCAATGCTCCTGACGTACATGTTCTGTTCCACAACAGCGAACGTAATGAATGAATAAATAGAATGACATCAACGTGGCTATCAATTAACTCAAAATATAATATGGAGCTAACATCAATTTAAGTAGAAAACACACATACAGAGGCGCGTGCGTGCCTTGAGACGTTTGTATCGTCTCGCATCGTATACATATCAAATGATATAACCATCGTGTTCGTTCATTGACGACATCATTTATCGACGGGTTTGTGGAAACCGAAAAAGGTCATTCACTACCATGATGATCTGATGTATTGATGCAGCCATCATTTTAATCAAAAGTGGAGCTCATTTCAAAAAGTAACATTCACATCAAAGTAGACACGAAGAGATGAAAAATCTCAAGGCAAGAGCTGGTTCTATCTGGTGTAACAAATTACGGTGATTTTGGTCATAATTAATTGCATAACATATCAGAGTTAAGGAGATTTTAAGAACGAACAAAATTATGGCAAAAACCAGAAAATAATGACGAAACACTTGGATCATATCCAAAGAATATCAACGACATTTTATGTGACACACACGCACCACATATTCTCCATGTTGCTGTTTCGTGTTCATTCTGCCTAAACACATACTGTCGATGATTCCGAATGCGGTTTTTCGGCAGATTTTTATTGACTTCATGCTTCGTTTCTCGTAATTTTTTTTTTGTTTCACCCCGTATAAATCCAATTCAGCAGTAAATTAAGGCTTGAGATAGATCGAGTCACGTACGGAAAGGCTTCGCCTGTGAACTGTGAAGTGATTTGTTTCGATCCGTATTTTTCTTGGGTAAAGTGGTTCATGAGAGAAAAGAGACGATGAGTTTTTAGCTATAACTTCATATGAAAGCATGTTCGAAGAACTAATGATGCGTTTGTTTTGTAGTAATGAGATATCAGAATAGAAAGATACGAAAAGTTTTTAAAATAAATGACAATGAAATACGGCGATAATAAATTTTTGACTACTTTGGAGCGACTACTGAAATATATAAGAAATGAATAGAGGACTAAAAGAGAAACTATCTTAATGATACACAATGCTACGCACAAATATGGATAAAATCACGTTCGAACTAAAAATAATATTAATTTCCCATGTTCATGCATTTTCGGGAAAATGTTCCAAGGTTGAGCTGCACACAAGTGACAGTGCAAATATTACTACGAATTAAATAAATCAAACTTCAGAAGAAACCGAGAGAAGCTGTGTTTGGATTGTATTTTCTATGCAAGTGGCTAATAAATGTAGCGAATATTGTGTATTTACTATTCTATCTATTTGGTGAGTATGTTCTGAATGCACATTGTACACACACACACCCATACGATAGCGCGATGCAAGAATTTACATGAATAAATAGCGAATATTTGATGAGAGATGGTTTCGATATTAAAAACTTTTTACTATTGAATCAAAAATGAAATGAATCATATGGAGATATTTATGTAGTCGTATAGAGCATTTGAGAACAAGAGACGAGCTAAGATTACATAACATTCTTCAGTTGAATTCATTCCATTTGCAATTGGCTTTCGGTTATGCACAACTCATTTTGAGTCGTTTTTGTGCTCTGTTTATTTTTGCGTATTCGTAATTTATTATAAATATAGTGATATGGTAAGGAAAGTAGCGAATAGAAATTACGAAAGGCATATCTATATTTTATAATACATACACAAGATCAAAGCTCGAAGAAAGCGATGAGCAAATTTGGCTTTGATTGAAAGCGTTTTTTTTTTTATTTAAAAAAAAGAAAACAAATTATTTATGTAAGGTAATAAATAGCGAAAGGAAAATCAGAATATACATGAAAATATTCTATATGTAGAAGAGCTTATTTAATATTCGATTGATCAAAGTATAAGCAAAATAGTTACGTTATTTTAAAGAAAAATAAACATATGTATATAGAGTAAAGAGTGTGTGTGAGAGAAAAACTTGAACCGAAAATGGGTATATACGAGCGTTAAAAGTGAACTTCAACTGGACTAAAAGAAAAAGAATATAATATGGAAAGTTCCGGTCAAAGGAATGAATGCAGATTACGAAATTGATTTTGTTTTTTTTTATACAATATATCATATGCTGGAAAAAGCAATTATCACATTACCTCCGGTTATTTCTCCTGGTTTAAATAGCGCGTTCAATCAAAAACAACACACAAATCACAAAAAAACAAACACGAAGAAGAAAAGAAAAACGAATAAATGAATTTTGGTTCAGCAAATTTCTGGTATTAATTAATTGTTGTTGCTACAAAAATATTTCGAAAAAAAATGTCTATCAATTAAAATGGATCAATTTTACAAAATTAATAATAAACCATTTTGGTCCATGGACAGTGAATTGTCTGAATCTAAAAGACGTAAGACCACTTTCATTTGAAAATTGGTGGTTTTAAAAGTGGTGAATGTGTGCGTGATTAATGCAGACCAAATATAATGCCCAACAACAAATCTAAATTTCCCACGGAGATATGATAAATGACAATTGCACTCTGATTGATGTGTGTTAATATATATTCAGTGTGAACCCTACGTCTGTCTACGGTAGGTGTTATAATACTGCAATTCGTGTACGTTGTGCATCAATTTCGTTCCATAAATATATATATGGATGTGTATATATATACTTATTAGTGAGTGACGAACAAGAACCCATTAATTACTTTATGTTACTTAGAATACATGCCCGTGCCGGCCTGATTTATATGCTGTATATGTAATATGCATATTTTATAACTGTTATGATGATGCACAGCTGATGAAAACCTAATTCAATTTTCCCGTATGACACCAAATTAAATCGAAAACGCAATTCACACATCAAAAGGTTTCAGCCGCAGAACATAATTACGAATGAATAGACAAGAATGCGATGACGATAAATGTGTGCGCTGGCGCTCAACACAACCGTTGCGACACAATATCAGACTGAAACCGATTAAGAGTGCTACATAATTTGTGTGCACTTGACGAAATTGATCAATAAAATCTCTATGCGGTTTACTAATTAAATAAAGACACAAAATCGAAACGAAATAAATCAGCCGGACTTCGGCTGAATCTATAAAAAAACACACACACATAAATCTGACAAAGGATGCGCTTTTATCCACATTTAATCGATTTCACAGACAATTTATATTTTGATATGCGTCACAAACGCACATGACCACTGCGAATGCAGGTGATTGCATCAGCTTTTGACATTCCAATAATCATTTTTTGATTGAGTGTAGAAATTGGAAAAAAGTTGTTGCAATCGCTATGGTCCTTTCGTTATTGTTATTACCTACACAAAGACACGTAAAAAAATCCACGAGATATTCAACATTGATTTCAAAAAGTAATATATGTATCAAACGATAACTACATCAATCAAATTCACTTATTATAGTCCACCGAGAAGTACAAATAACATGCAATTTTAATATTACGAATGACAATGTATTTTCTGGGAACTTTCATTTGATTCAATTCAAAGAAAAACGCAACAATTTCGCGTAAAATTGGGATTTTATGATTTTCTATTTTATCTGAGCTACTTTTAAATATCTCTGAGTTCATGGAATGGCATTCGTTTTCAAGGATTCTTCAGCCAATATCTTTATCTTCGAACGGAATTTGGGATTTGTGATTTAATGCCTCTGTGCATTGGAATGTTAAATGTGTTTACACTTTTATTTTGCTAGATCGGCTATACACTTTGTCACTTGCATGTGTTCAAAGCGATCTAAGAGATGATTTATCGTTTTTTGTTTTGCTTTTTTGTGCAACCTTCTTTTTTAAAATGCACCAATTGCTGCTGCTACCGTTCATTCTCGGCGCATACAAACAAGTGTGAACGTTTCAAAGATGAAACAAGTATTATTTACAGCTAACAAACTGAACAGTAAATTAAATGATCGGCGTCTATAAAAAATGGAATCCTCTTGTTGGCGCGTGTAAAACGTGTTTTATGCACGATTTTCATCCCGTCCATTTGTGTGCAGAGACGCTTCTATACACTTTATTGCTTGCTTAATAAACAAGAAATTGTGAGAACTGCTTACGGGTTTACACGTCACAAAACTTGTGAGTGAACTACAAATTAGAAGAAAAAGAAAAATCACGCGACCAACAATAAAAACACAAGAAATTCACTGAAGCAACCAAATGCAAACGGAATTTTCATATAAATTTCAAACAGAAATCTAGCGAAATTTATTTAATCAAAAAATGGTAGCGAATGTGCATTTACAAGACGGTTGCAAATCCATAGTTTGTATTTTAACGAATTTATGTTTGTATTTTGTTCGCATGAAATTTACTTGCTTCATAGCAAATGCAATACGACAGCAGCATTTATTACATTTGTGTTGCACATTTTTGTATTTAAAATACAGATCCGCTGTTTTTACTATCAACCGGAGTAATTCTTTTTTTCTATTATTTTTGTTTCAATTTTAGTATGGTTTTTTTTCGTTTCTTGTCGTTAAATCTCCTGCCTTAAAAGTAAATTATTTAGTTTCGTGTATTTTATAGCTGCAAGAAATACAAGTCCGGGAAAAAGAAATAGCACAAACACTGCGATGAATTCTGATCAGTAAACATAGCTGGTCATGTTTTACATTCCAACATTTTCTGGTGAATTGTGATTATAGAATTTATGGATTAGTGTGCATGTATATGCCGAAAATATTCTATTTTCTCTAAATATATATATTCAACTTTTCCGCATCTAATTTTAACGACGCAACCATTTCGGTCATTTCGTTCACGTATACCTTTAACTAATTCCCGTTGTTAACACCGACGAATAGAGAGAAGAATGAAATTTCGTAGCCGAAAGAAATTTGTCGATGGAACACGATAAATTGAATGCCATACCTATCTCTCTCTCTATTTTCCCTTACGACAGTACCGAAACAGAGAAAACTTGGAAATCATGATTGGAAAATATGCATACAAACCTCCTTGTGGAAAGAATTGCGAGTAGATAATTTTGAAAGTATCCTCTTTAACAACGCCAGTTGGACACTCGGCCTTAAATCCACGGTAAATTCGTTTGATTTCTGCTTCGGAAAAACGTGTTGACCGACTTAATGCACTTAGTGAATCCGGGCGATAGCGTGGTGTTGTTTCTAATTCTTCTAATTCGGAATCTGTGGCAATAAAAAAAACGGAAAATGTGAGAAAACAATTTATGAAAGTTATAAATATTTATAAAAAAAGAACGGAAGGAAGAAAGAAACAAGGAAAACAAATATGATGCTGCTCAAAAGAAAAGAACTACATGGAAGTGTAATCGTTATCTACACATTTTTTTTTTGCTGGAGAAATCCATATTTTCACGGTTGTTTGCACAACGACTTTTTCAATTCAACAACGATTCTCTTCTCGCTTTTTTCTGTGCAGTTTTGGAACTCATCCAAATACCATATTGCCAATTTTGCCATTTGCCACCTCACCCATAAATTTCAGATGTACTAACAAATTTGACTCCAATTTTCTCTTGCACTTTTGTGTCAACCCGATGGCATTTAAATGGCCAATTGTTGGTAATGTAAACATTTCAATAAATGTGTAATCGTCGGAAATGCCAACACATAAATTTACTATCTCTTATAGTGAAATCAACAAGTTTCACCATTTGTTTCGCAAAATGGAAAATTTCAATTTGATTTCGCACAGGTGACTCCGACGCAACCTCTGTATCAAGATCAAATATTTCAATGGTATTAATTAACACTACACTGTGCTGGTATTCATGGTATAAACTACATTGCATTACCTATCGCTTTTACGGGTAACCTTTGTATTTTCATGAGTACGGCTTTCTGGTGCACAAAGCTCGATTAAATCAATTGAATAATCTCAAGAATTTTCAAACAAACAAATATTTACAAATGATTTTCACTTTTTGCCGAACAATTGCCAAAACACTAACGATTTCAATGTTCTTCAATTTCAGATTCACATAATACAATTGCGATGAATGAAACGCATCAGTTTCGGTTTCTATAAATAAAACGGAACGCAAGAGTGCCATAAATCAATGACGGTCATAAGTTATGAACGCGCGAGTGAATGGAGCGCATTCTCATTGCTTGACACTCTGATCGGAAAGGAGTTCACTTGCATCAAAATGCACTTCATGTACAAAGAGTTACAACTTTTGTTTTGACACATACACAAAAACACAATCACCACGCTGTCGATTGCTGTGTGACAAATATGCTGTTGTAATTTCAAACACAAAACAGCTGTTGCCGCTTGCGTGAAAGTCGAGATACTGATATCTGTATCGGATATTGTCAGATATGTCCGATTTAATTCGGGTTCACAACATGCCAACGCATACAAGCATACAAAAACCCATACCATTATGCATACGCTCACAATTTCACGCTTCTTTTTTATCAGCACGGGAACAGAACAGCCAAAATGTTTGAATTGAAACGTAAACAGAAAATGAGGCAAAAAAAAGGAATGAAACGAACAAAAAAAGCATACACACATCACCCATTGAGTTCTAAATTTGAAAAATACACGCTCTGATACACCAGGCCAGATATTTCTGACATTTGATGTGTTGCTTTGAACATGCAGAAATAGAACACATAATCGTGCAATCGCCAACACCATTTCGGTGTGTGTGTGTGTTTGTGGATATATCCAAATGTTTTTGGTCGCATCTTGAAAAATCATGTATGCATCCAATCAAATTGTAATTGCGAATGCATTTGCTTTCTGTGGTTTGTAACATTCAATATTGTATTCGGATTGGTTGGGTCGCAACTAGGTGGTGTGTGGTATGAATTGGTCATGCTTTAATTAGTAAAAGGTCCATTGTTAGTATTAACTTGAATGGAAAGAATAAAAATGAAAAAAAAAAGAAACAATCATGCATCAACTATCAATTTAACCATTGCAATGTTGTAATTGGCAATCTAATTACATTAAACCAAAATGGAAAAATGAAACCGAAACCAATTTGACAAAGTAAATATTCGAAACGAAACAACATATTTTGTTCTCTTCTTCTCTCTGCACACGTTGCTTTGAAAATCACTACTTGACCGGAGCCACGTGTCGGTCAGAACATATTCAGAATTAATTCTGAAATCCGATTAAATCGACAGCTGCGTAAACAAGAAATATGTGTTTTGATATATTTTACGAATTTATTTGCAAATTCAACGATGCTCGGTTGAAATCTTAGCTTGATCTCCTGCCAATAGCCGTGTGAGTGCGGTGAATATTAGACATTTCGATATCAACAAAACCACATGTCTAGACATAAAATACACAATAATTACGTATTAGGATAGTACATGGAACTCCTATTACATGCCATTAGTTTTTTTCACCTCCTCTATTCGCTTGAACTTGGCTGTATGAGTGCATGCGCACTAGGGTGTTTCCACATGAAAAATATTAAAAAGTGGCTATTATCATTTTGAAGAGCGTTAAATTCTGTATAAGATGATTTGATTTTTGATGCTGATTGGTGGCCGATGTCACTTCCTGGACTAAAAACACATTTGTAAATTGATTTCATGTCGCATTCACGCCAAAATCTGTAATTGATGAAAATATAAGATTGAACTAAATTAAAAACACTCAAAATAATTTTAATATCAAAATAATTGCCTAAATATTAATGAAAGTAACACAAAAACTCACAATTTTACCACAATAAACCAAAACATTGCAAATTCGCCAATTCATTTGACAGAATGACATTTGAAGCGTGATTCGCTTACGCATGACAAATGACAGGTTATGTGTCAAATGAATTGGCGATTTTGCATTGTTTTGGTTTATTGTGGTAAAATTGTTAGTTTTTGTGTTACTTTTTTTGAATATTTAAGCAATAATATTGATACTAAAATTATATTTCATATTTTTAATTTTGTTCAATCTTATAATTTCATTCTGGCGTGAATGCGACATGAAATCAATTTAAAAATGTGTTTTTAGTCCAGGAAGTGACATCGGCGACCAATCAGCATCGAAAATCAAATAATCTTATACAGAATTTTACGCTCTTCAAAATGATACTAGCCACTTTTTAATATTTTCCATGTGGAAACACCCTAATGCGCACTCTTGTTTGTGTCGATTGAATGCAAAATAATTAATACAAAAGCCCGTATTTCGAACAATATCAATGAAATTCCAACAAATGGTAAATTAATTCACTTTAAGGAGCTTATCGTACAACAAGCACCATGTAACATCGGCTCTGTCTGATATAGTAGTTTTTTTTTACGGTCAATGCTAAACAATTAGAGCCATGGAGGAGAGAGAGAGTGTGAGCGTATGTACCATTTGTTATCGAACCAGCATTTAACAATGGTGTATGAGATTGGAAAAGTACGCGCTTATTTTGGCATTGAATTAATTATTTCATTAATCAGCATTTGCATTTAATACATTTCGTATTGGTATTTGTGCGCGTTTGATCTCGCCAAATGTTCAATGTGATTTTACGTTTTGTTAGCGTAGAAGAACTTTTCGAACATTTTCCATCGAATTAATTTTGAGCGTTACCTCGTATTCATGGCAAACCGATGTGAATCTATGTAGTTTTTAACTTATTCAGTACACAAATTGCATTACAAACACAGCGACTGAAACAGACAGAGAAAAAAAAACAGTGGAAATGAATGAAAGACGGGATTTGACATTTTCTGTGCTGTGCGCTGCTGCTGTGTGTTTAGTTTTGTTCGTTGACTTTCTCGTTTCGTCGTAAAATCACCGAAATGAAAAACACAATTATAATTCCGTTTGAAGCTATTTCAAAAAAAAAATAATGTGGTGAAAAGTAGCGAGAGAGCTACGATACGAACGACAAATTTACGCCGTTGGTCGGGTGTGCGAACCCGTAAATGAGCAAAATGTGGCGAATTCATTTCAATTTCGTTTGCTGCTGTTTTTTTCGGGTTGTGTATTAGCATTAGGTTTTTTTTTCCTTCGTACTTTCATTTGCGTTGATGAGATCAACATGTATTGTGCTTGAGCAACGAAGCTGCAGAGCATCAGAGCAAAACGGTATTATGTCAAGGTCTTTAGTGTGAATGGCGCGTACCATGTAAAAATAGCAATGTTAAATGAACAATGCGTCTTTTTTTCGAAATACGTACGAACGGAATTCTCGACACGAGTGTCAACTGACGTTTACTTGCAGTCACACGACCGAAAAATAACCAAAAGAACATGGAAAAACTTACAAGCACAAAAACAAATCAATTGAATTCATCTTTGTGCTTGCTCACCATTTCGTGTTGTTTAAGAGTAAAAGTTCTTTTTAGAAAAGATGGAATTACTGAAGTTTTCACTTGCCTTTCATATGCATGCTGCTGTAGCACGCTAGAACAATGCTTAAATATAATCGTTTCAAATTACAAATCAAATACAACAGTTGTGATCCAGTTCAAGTTTCAAAAACAAGATATTCGAAATCGACGTGCTTGTGCTTAAACTTGACGGCAAATTCCTTGAAATTACATGGAAAAGAAAAGAACGCGATTTATGTGTGTTTTCAACAAAAGTTCTAGCGAATTTATATTCCCTTTTCTCGTTGATGAATTTCATAACTCGAATACGTGTATGTAAATGCATGGATTTCATTTATTGAATATATATCATTATTTTAAGTCTGCCACTCAATCACTTGTTTTATCTTTTGCATTTCATTTTTATAACATCTTCGTACATACACACATGTTCTCGTATACGACATTCCCATCACGACATGATATAGATTAAGGGGCTTAATTCAAAATTTTCAACGACTGAATTCTATAATAATATCTAAGTTAACTGAATTTTTCAGCAAACGAATGAATTCCAGTGAATTCTACGGCGATTTCATTCAAATATGTGAGATAGTGGTGAATAGTTTCTGCTGGCAATTACTGCAATATTTATATTTTGTTTAACAAAATTGTAAATGTTTTTTATATTTTTTTAATAAAAATTAATTTTATTTTCAATTTTGAGCGATTTTCTATCGAAAACAATCGGAAATATTGAAAAAATAATAAATTAAAAAATATTGCGGTTATCATAACCTCACTTTATTACTTTGACACATTTCATTCTATTCACACGAATTCACCGAACTCATCAATAACCATTCGATTCAAAAGTGTGG